GATTAAATGGTATTGTACAATGCATCAAGAGCTACAATTTTTGTATTTACGGTTTTCGGCTATTACATACACTGTTGGAGATATTTGAAAAAATCCAAATGAAAATCACAATTTCTCGCCCTCATTCTCGAAGCGATGACGTCGTTTACTATTATGACGTAGTGCATGGTTTCAGAAAAAAAAGCATTTTATCGAAAACCATTTGCTCTATTGGAAAAATTCATATACCATTAGAAATGGTAGATCCAAGGCTATTACCTCTATTTCGAACATGGTTTGAATTATATGCAGGGTTGGTTTATGGGCAAAAAATCTAAAAGATTCTAAAAATCGTTAAAAATGTGATAATTTTATTTGAACAGTATCGTAAACTATGTCGAGAGAGAGTTTCAGGTTTCGTCAATTGTACAGGGCGTGCGAGATATTTGAAAAAATATTATTCGACGCTATCATTTGCACCAATTTTAATATTTAACAAAGCTTGCTGTAACATTGAAGTTCGGCGAGACTTGACAGACCCTTTATACAGGGTGTATGCACAATAAAATTACATCGATCTTGCGAAAGTTCCGTAGTGGTCCGCAGGAGCACAATAGAAAAATAATGCGTCCCTCTAGGACAAGAAACCGAGAAGCGCCTTCTTTTTAAAATAAAAAGCTGCTTCGCGCTACGCGCTACAAATTGGCCCCGTCCACCGACGACTTTTGGAAAACAATCTTGTGTTAATCATGTACTCGTACACTCACACATAACTCCGAAATATGACTGAAAGAAAATACTGGCCACAGACATATACCTCAGCCATATCAGCCATAGGCAGTTAGGGGATATAGAACAAAAACAGCTGCCATGGTACGGGCATGAATCTATCATAAGATGGCTGTGATGATAACTTGTCACTCATTTCAGTGAAAAAACTTTTAAAATATTGCCACTTTTAAAAATAAAAACAAATCAAAAATTTCCCCATCAATATGATACCACTTTGTACAATGGAACTAACGTGGCGTGTGACCACTTATCGATTCGGTTGCAATAAGCGGCGAAATAAAAAAAAGGGGGGCGCCGGAGGGTCGTGGGGGCTGAGCGTGACAACTTAATGGAGTTAAAAAAGCGGCAAAACCGATAAGGAAAGACGAGGAGCGCAAACAGACTTCTGCTTGAGTAATTAATATCGTTATCCAGCGAAGCATGGGGACCCTTTGCTCCCACGGATCGAAGTTCTATTTTTTTTACTTAAGGTCCAGAGTTTCTGGAGTGTCGAGAACTGAAATAGAAACTCCCACCACATTACAACCCATCGACGATATTAGAAAAATCCATATACGCTCCAAACGATAATTTTATTCCACCACTTTATATGGGTTACTCAAAACGCGTTTGGTGCTTTTCGAAATAAAAATTTTATTCCTATTGCTAATAGATATATAGAGAATTTTTGAAGACGCCATTATAAAAATGTCGAAAACTGTGATGACAGTTATATATCAGTTTTATATCTTATAAAACGAGTTCTATGTTATGTCTAGTTAGCTTTGATTAGTTAGTTGTCGTTATAGCTTGGAGATAACTTTCGTGTTTCTGAAAATTACTAGAAACTTAATCCGCTACTATTGTTGTTCATGTTATTGTTTGCAGTACCTAAATGTTGCAGCACGTTAATTTTTAAACATGCCAGAACTTGTAACCTTACTAATAGAATTTTAACCAATGTAAAAAACTATTAAAAATATTAAGTATCAGCAAGAGTGAACCGGATTGCAGTGTGGTTATCTCCCCTTCACATATACCTGGAGAGGAAGGCAATAAAGGGCATCAAGTTGCTGGAAATGTTATTGAACCTCAGCGTTCTATGAGTAGCATAACGACTAACGTCCCACGAAGTAAACCTTCATCAGGAAAGAGTGGATTCAGAACAAGACTGACCTACTGAAAAAGGACAACTTTAGTTCACTGACAGTTCCAAAAGCAATAAAGGTATTGGGGTTGTCATCTATTTGGTACATATCTGGGCACATTCCAAGCTTTGTATAAGAACGCTTGTATAAAGACAATATAGAGAAATACTAATATTGATACGGCTTGCCAGGCAGTATCGAAGGCGTTGAAATCGCCTCCTGCTCCTCCGAAACAGTGAGAAGCTACCAAGAGGCTCTATCCATGTTAAAGATAAGATAATCAACAATTAACGACTATATTTGTAAAGAGTAATAGGACTAGTCTATCCTAGAACTTGAGAATCTGATGGACATACCTCCACACAATATAACGGAATTAACACAAGGGTTGACCTTTATGGTAGAAATGTAAAATTTTATTCCGCAGCCCTATAAGATATACACAATATACATAAACATAAATCTAAGGAGTGTGGCGGAATCGTGCTTGTTGGGTAAATGTACGCATTCAAGTATTTTATATGTTACGGTCTTTTAAACTTCACGGACTAGTGCTGCTTCTCTCCTTTCTGCCGTAGGTCACAGACGTCGTTGTTTACAAAGAATCAATCAACTTTTGGTACAGCATTTTATGGAAACGTGTGATCTTGTGCACCTAAAGATAATTGATTTACATTGCTAGGTGAAGTTGTGAAGTGAAGTAAAGATTTTCAATTAAAATCTATAAAACAGAAAATTTACAAAATGCCAATCCAATCCGATATTCCAAAGTCGAAACTTACAATAAATAATCAATTTAGTCAATCAATCAAACAATGAAATACATTCAAAGTCAAACTAGAGATACTTCCGACCGATCAGAGAACGATGATGATGAAGTTTACGGTATTGGAGGAAAAATTAGAAAAAGAAATGGCACGCATGCATCTTTGGTTGAATATGGAATCAGGGAACAACTCGTAGGGCTCAGATACTCCGAAAAATTACTTGTGATCGATGCACAATATTAATAAATATTTTAAAACTGTTTCGATTTTATGAATGCTTTTCTTGTTCACCATTTATCTGCAAAAAGTAAATTAAATAGCACTTCCATTACGACATTGACACTTAAATTATCTACAATTTATGACAGCTTAAAAATTTTAGAATATATTTTTGGTTACCCCGTATAGAATGAGAAGTTTTTCAAAAACTGCCATATTAAATACAATCAAGATTTGTTTTTCAGTTTCTGAAATGGCCACCAGGGGCGTAACACTTTAACACACATAGTTAAAGTGAGTATTTAAAATCTGAGGAAAATGCAAATAGTTTTTGTTTAATGCTATTTGCTCCTCCATGTCTTCAAGGAAAGTGTGGGGGGAGTTCGAATATTTTCTTGAATAAATGCATATGATACGGTAAAAGCGTTAACTTGACTAGGTTATAAACCGGCTGCAAAGTATGCAAAGCATTCAATTTGATGAAAAATCATATTTATATGAAAATAGCTACAAATATTGGATGGTTTGTATGCTATCCAGCTCATTAAAAAATATACAAGATATACCCCCAAAGTATGAGCCACAAGAAGAGTATGCAAATTAACCGGTGGAAAGCGATTTGCAGAATGCTGCAATTTCTATGGACGCACGAAGCAAGTCTGTTTTCATCCGTAGTGGCGACCATGGTCAAGGCAGAGAAATATTTTGCTATACTGTACGAAGTTAACCAAACATGATTGGTTAGTTAACATACTAACCAACCAGTTAGTTCTTATCAATTACTAGAAATATAAACTTCGCAAGTTATTCAAATACTGAAGCTAGTTTGCAAATAAGCTACAATCCATGGTTAATTTTAATACCTTTCTTCTGGTTTGCACTTTGGCGGTAAATGTTTTATAGTTTGTAAACCAGCTAAAACTAAAGTGGGTAGGATACAAACCAAGCAATACTGGCAGATATTTGAGTTTGCCTAACCAAAACTAAAAAAGGGCATTGAATGACTACTAGCTGATATTTCTACAATTTGACATACCCAGTCGTGTTAAAATATTTTATCATTATTCTTATTATTTATTCTTTCATTAATTTTTAGGTTTGTTAACCAACCAAAACTATTCAATTGTTGAAGATTCACCAATCTATTATTTAAGTAGCAAAATGAGCACTAAAATAATCAGCATTTTCATCATTTCTAACTCGTCGATTTTTTCTAGGCGCTGGATTACGGTGAGTTTAAATATGATTTAAAACGGTAGGCAATCAAGAGCTTTGACGTGCATGAAATAATGACATGCAAGATGCATAAGCGTAAAAGATATTGTAAAAAAGTAATAAATATTAATAAGAAATTGGTAACTTATTTGGTAAAATCCAGACAATCAAATATACTTTAGAAATTTTTCTACAAATCCAATTTTCTTTCAATTTCTTAGGCCTATCTAATGACATAAGAAACTTATATCGTTGCATTAATTCTTGCTTCAGAAAATGGTAATGGTAAATGGTAAAGGTAAATGGGAAATAGAGATATGTCGGTTTACCTATTTCAGAAAATACTCGCACACCCCACTCCTTTCGAACCTGGTTTCAAAAAATCGAAAACAAGTTCCAACATTTTCTCTTCTCCCATTTACTTACTGTTAGATTTAAAAATGTTATGTTGGAAGGACTGACTAGAGAGTGTTACGACCGTTTTTATTCTGTGCTTAGGAAGGTCCGATTATGCTGTGGTTATGTCTCTCTCTGGCCGAGCTTACATTAAGCAAGATAATCTGCGGTAGAGGAGACGAATGTTATGTTTTGTTAAGTATTACGTCTGTCGGTAAATTAAATAATTGAGAAAAGTGATCCTTGATTACTTAATCCATGCACCTACGGTCGCTACATTACTATATTTTTTTTCAAATTGATTTAATTATCCCTTTTCCTGATACCGGACTTAGTTGTCCTTACTGGGAAACCCGTATATCAAAAAATTAGTTTAAAAAGTAACCGTCCGTCCGTCCATAATCGCGTCTGTGTTTCGAAGTTTACAGACGAATCGCTTACAGAACAAACCCTTAAGTAGTCGAAACCGCCTCCGGTGTTTACCACGAGTTTCCCCCTTTTCCAGCCCCCCATGTCGTCGGGTATATGTCGACCGTATAGAATGTCACAGTTCAGTGGCACGCAACAAACTCCGGTTTCCATCTAATGTGTGAACAGGGTTCGATGGACCGAGGACCGCCCCCCGAAGGGCCGCCCGATCTCGCCGCTTCGTGTGACGAAAAAGTGGTCGCGACCACGATCGCCGACGTGGAGGATGAACTGCCGGGGTAAGTGAATAAAAAGTAAAGTAATTCGTGCGACTAGGGACGACGCGAGGCCGCAAAAATGCGCGAGGTTGATATGTGTATCAAAGAAAAAAAAATCACTCTCGTATTCTCTGATTTATCGTAAACAAATCGAAAACAGAATGCTACCAGCGAAACAATCAGGATTTCGGTTGGAATTTAGCTCTGAGAGTCCTCTCGCCGATGTAAAGGACGACTTATTCAGAGCTGCTCATGAATACCAAACCTCGGTATTAGTGTTACTAGATTTTAGTAAGGCATTTGACATGCTAAATACGCAAAACCTCTTAAAATTCTTTTTATCTAATAGAACACAGCGAGCTATATGATTCCAGTAACAGCCTGGGTTTGTTCTTGGATTCTAGACTTCGTTTCCATTAGCATATAACAGAAAAACTTAAAAAAGCATCTTGTAGATACTATTACACAAGAGACCAAGAGGCTGCTTTGCGACTCTATAGTGTTGTCTCAGCTTAGCCACTATTCTAGTGTTTACAGCCTTTGCCTTGACGCAGCCGATAAAAGACGAATCCATGCTTGAGTTTGATTTATGGAATTGACAGACGCCAAAGAATTTTAATTTTTTTCCGAACCGCTGGTTGGTTCAATATGCATAATAGATTCAAGTTGCATATAGCGTCTTTTTATTTCAACGTCATCTGTTTCATAAAATTTCCCTTGAGTCAAACGTCCATGGACTTAATTTGCGTAATATACACACAAAGGAGGTACTTAAAAGGTCATATTATTACACTATCGCTTCACCAGTTAACTTTCTGGACCGGCCTGATCTCGGTGGTGCCTTAGAGCTATGTTAAAATTTAGTCTTCTCCAACGTCAACAATGTCTTGCAATACTTGTTCAGTTTTGTTCAACTTTTCTTATTTTTTCTCCTTTTATTCCCACCTTTTCCCTTTTCCTTCCCGCTTGGATATTTATTCTTTATTTACTTTCTATTTAAGGCTTATTCTTTGCTATCTGGAACGATGATTTTTCTTTTTAAGTGAGCCTTTAACAGTATTTGATTTATTTCAAGACTTTTGCTGCGGGTTTTCCTAATTCACTTACACTTATTGTAATTTTTAATTCTGTTTTGTATTAAACGTTATTTATTTATTTATTATTAAATATGGGGTACTGTACATTATTTCTTAATATCGAAATTAGTTCTACATCATACAGGGTCAAAACTAATGATATGCCTATGAGTTACAAAAATTATGAAAAGGGTATTTCTTTTTAAAGGAAGCACCTTATATATTATCACATATTCTAAGAGCAAATTAAATTCCCTTTCGAATGATGAAGCTCAATTGTAATCAATTTTTTTTTAACGAGACTTTAATTTCAATTTTTTAAATTTTTACGGTTTACCGTTGAAAACATTAACAAGTTCAAACATTCCCTTCTGAAAACTAATTGTTATTATTTTATGCAAATTACTATGTTAATTACATGTCGCAGATTTTTTGCACTACCTTTATTAACATTATTGACATACATTTCCCTCCTAAAAAAAGAGATTACTGATACTAAATGGAAGCCCCTTGTAGATTGGTTTACCGACACACTTCGTAAAAAAGAGATCTCTTATCAAAAATATAAATATTTTGCGACGGAAAAAAGATCCCGCTTGCATTAATATTTACAGAAATGTAAAAAGGGAATATTAGTATAATGGATTCTTGGTGACTAATAAATTTTGAACTAAGTAGATGCACTTTAAAATCATTTCAGCTAATATAATGGATAATATTTGTTTTCAGACTTAAACTCAATTGGTCTTGTAAATTTGAATAACTATCACAGTTACTCTGATTTCAAGAGCCATTTTGACTTTAAAAAATTCGTCTTGCTTACATATGTACAATATTAACAGCGGATTAATTAAAGAATGTTCTGACTCCTTGATGCCCCTTTTAACACATTTATATAACACCTGTTTCACCACCAGTACTGTCCCAGATCAATTTAAATATGCCACTTCTCAGAAATACAGTAAATATGATGCACAACTATCGTTCTATTTCGATATTGCTTATTTTTGGCAAGATTTTTGAAATTATGCGGAAAGAGTTGCCGTCAGACTACTAGCTAAAAATTTGCACGAAAAATAGTAGTTATGTAACTAGTAACCCTCTTAGTCTCTTCAAATGTTAATGCTAGGAAAAGCAGGAGTGTCGCCTTGCTCACTATCATTATTGTGACGATAGATTAAATTGATATGTTTTTTATTAACTCCTTCTGTAAATCATTGTCATCCGTACTGCTATGCAGTCAGAGTCTTCGTCTTCAAGAAAAGTTCTCCGAATTCTTCTTGTTTTGTACTATAGAGTATCATCTAGAACACATTTTCTCAGTAATCGCAATCGCAATTCACTCTAATAAATCAAGATATTCTGTTCACTCATTCCTAAGCGTAATGCACACCAGTTAACGATTCCCCGATACCCTCTCAATAAATCAATTGGAATTTGTTTAAACTTGAACTTTAACAATCTACTGATAATTAACCAGTTTTTGCAGTACCGATGAATATCTAAATTTCAAATTTTAAACTTGTATAACCTGTCTAATTTTACAAATTTGTTTCGTGACTTTTTATTTTTTGTTCTTACTTTTATTCAAATATTGTTCAATTATATGTATTTATTTATGTTATTTAGATTTCTTACACATGGCAATTGCTGTGGCATGTGGCTGTTTGGGAAACGTAAAACCTAATCCTATTTATCTTATGTTAAATAATTCATTTTCCGTTTGACGGTTCAATAAAGAAAGAGAATTTGTTTATTATGCATTTAAAATGCAACATTATAGCCAGAACAAGCAGAAAATGTAATGAAACGAATCCAGATGCCCAACGCATGAACAAGAGAAAATTTGCCAGAATTGGGAAAAGCTTTATAAAGCATTTTAAAAACTATTGACAGTAACAAAATAAAAATTGCACACAGAAAAATGAATCACATTTTTAGATTAGGTGTTGGAAGTGCTCACCATTGCATTTTAAAAGCTTTAAGTAGACTGAAGTAGACTGATGGCAGTAGCCTTTTTTATCTCCGATGGATCTATTTGTTCAAAGCATACAATCAGATGACTTAATTCTTCTTTGCTCTGCGCCTGTGTCAAATCTAGTTGGTACCAAGGGGTCCGAAGTTTCTGAAGCCTAGGATTCTCGAGAAAATCATTTGAAGGTATTTTGCAGCATTCAATGTTCCATCGTAAATGAAAAGCTCACTTTATGATTTTTAAACAACCAAAATTTTCTTTCAACTCTCATTTTTTTATGTGGTGTGAGGATTGTCGACAAAAAAGTGAAATAATGAATATATCCTCTTCTGAAAATTTTGCTTCGTCGGCCATTTAAGAGATGAATTGTGACAACGTAATCCAGTTTCAAGAGTTACTTGCTTTTATTTCAAAGATCAAACGATTGAGGTATAGGGACATGATATATCATTCGAAAGGGAACTGAATTTGCACTTAGATAATGTTCTTCATTAGAATAAAATGCACTTTTCACCATTTTTGTAACTGATAAATCATTAGCTTTGACCAACTCTGTATTTCGTAGAACTAATTTTGATATTAGGAAATTTTGTTCAATACCTTCTTAAGCTACGTCTAAAATTTAAACTTTCTACTGGCTCCTTGTCGTAGTTAAAAAAATAATTTGAATCTCTGGTCGAAAATATGAGGAAAATAATTATTTTCTAGAAAAGCGCTGAAGTTAGGTATGGGAAAGTATTATTCAAAAACCATCATTAAGTATTAGCGAATCGGAAATTGCAATAATATACATGCCGTCTCATTTTACGAAGAAGCGGCAACGTCGCAGCGCTAAAAATATGGAACTAAACAAATTTTCAGAATAATTCAATGAACCGTTCGCCGTAAATGTCTAAGGTACCATCAACCGTGAAATACTCCGTTTATATATGCAATCCATTGACTAATAAATTTTCTACATATTCGATCTAGTCGAATGACATGCCAATTTTTACTAAAATTTGTTTGCATTTTGGAAAGTGAAAAATCAAAATTCGTTCTTAGTTATCTATTTATCGCTGCTATGTTTATGACATCTATTGCTTACTTTATATATTGATTTTTAATATCATTACCCAAATACAGAATTTGAAATCGTCCTTTCATCTTATAATAACCAAAAAATACTTCTTTATACTTCACTATATATATTTAATATTTTTGTTCCATACTTTGAGGTTTTTGTTTCAATAGGAGTTGTTACTTCTTATGGGGTTTCCATCGAATGTTGGTCTTTTCTTTTCGAGGTTTTTTACTTGTGCAATCTTCTTTTAGTGCATATTTTCTGTAGTGAGTTTGCAGTCATACGAGACTTTTACACATGTATGTTACATACAATGTTCTAAGTCAGTGCTTTCTCCCAAAACCTTGTCTTAACATTGAATCCAAAATAAATGTAGTTCTTTTGAATCGGTCGCTATGTTCAGAGTCCATATTAATACTTTTTGTGTATTTACTAACAAATTAAATTAAAGTATATAGTGTTTTTAATGTCTTTAAAATGACAAGAAGTAGAAATATGAATGTTGGTATGTGTGTGTAACTTTCACACACATTATGTTGGCGCATCCAGCAGGGTGGGTGGTCGACAGAGGGAGACGGTGAGGTGACGGTTGCGGGAGGGGTGGGGGTTGAGGGGGTGAGTGTAGGTAGGTTGGTGCCAAGATAGGAGAGGGATCGAATGACCTTGACCGGGACCAATTTCCGCTAATATGAACCTTAAATTTTCTTATGGGAATTTACGTGTAAAATCGGCCGAAATTGCTGTTGAAAGCAGGTATTATATCTACTCAGTAAGTATCGTTTTTTTTATGAAAATAGAAACGAGATGAAAAATGTAATGAAGCTAAAAAATATCTTTGCAATTGCACTTACACTGAAACCCATACTCTAGGACAGGAATCCAGTTCAATATAACGATATAATTTGTG